GATAGTGTTGTTGTTCTTACAGTGAAATAAATTGTGGAAATATCATCAGTGTAGAAATATTCCTGGAATGAAGATGGAAAATTAACACAAAAGAAAAGTGTGTGATGACTAGATTAGTCAAATTCAGAAGTTTTTCAAAGCAGACTGATTCATTACAAAAACAAAGTCCAAGAGTCTTCCCATTAAAAATTTCATATTCTCATCAATTAGGGTACCCAGGCAGAAAAAAGAGATTTAAGGCAGTGGTGAAATCTAAAATTTGTTACTACTGGTTCTGTGGGCGTGGCTTGGTGGTGGGGTATAATGTGACTGGGTGGGCGTGGCCAATTTTTTAAAAAAACCTTTAAAACCATTTTTTCTACAACCTCTGATTGGCAGAGGCATTTAAAAGAAAAAAACCTTTTTTTTTTCTTTTAAATGCCTCTGCTGATCAGGCAAACCAGCTTGGATCATCAGAGACATTTAAAAGAAAAAAAGGGTTATTTCTTTTAAAAGCCTTTGACGATCCCAGCTGAGCCGCGCGATCATCAGAGGCTTTTTTTTTTACTTTTAAAAGCATTTTTTCGGCCGAAGTGGTTGTAGAAAAAATGCTTTTAAAAGTAAAAAAAAAAAAAAGCCTCTGATGATTGTGTGGCTCAGCTGGCCATGGAGGTGGGGTGGGGTGGGGCAGGGATTTTTGCTACCGGTTCTCCGAACCACCCGCCTCCATCGCTACTGAATCAGGTGATCCAGTCCAAACTGGGAGCATTTCACCCCTGATTTAAGGTCCAAACTGTCTACATGTCTTGAATCTTGATAGCAGTTGCTTCTCCCCTTCATTCTGATGCTTCCTCTAAACCTTTAACCCAGTGTTGTGCTTTCGAATCTCTTTCTTGGAGGTTCTTCTGCTGTGGTTAAGATTATTCAGATCTGGTCACTTTCATTATTTTTAATCTACATGAACAAAGTATTATATAAAGCAATAATTTTATCACCATCTACTACAGGTTCTTGTTCCATCTAAGACACTGCTTCCATCTAATTTTCCAGACCCTCAAAAATATATTAATTCTATGTATTAAATGCCTTATTTATCTATCCCTTGCCAAAGGGCAAAACCAAAACACAGCATTTCCACACTAGTAGTTTATAATGTCATTGGTCATAGTTATGGCAATATATCACTAAAGCAAACAGGGTTTTTTTATTATAACGTTACCCAACATGATGATTGGGTGATGTTATAAATTGCCAGTGCAGAATCCCACAGAGACACTGTATTATTGAACCAAGCTGTGCACTGTCAAAAAAAATTGGTAGTTCCCCTATGAACTGGTTATGCTGAAATGAGTATTCTGCTGTACTTGCTAGATTTTTTAGTTGTAAAAGAAGTTTACATCGTCATAAAGCCTAGTCATGATAGGCTGATGACTGTGCCATTTCTAGCAAATACATTACATCTGCTCATGTATATTTTCTGTCAAGACAGACAAATAGTGACAGCCCTCGTCACATTGATCAACTGTATGCAATCTGCCCTCACTCTCTCATCTTTCAGCATTTTCACCAACTCCATTGTTTTTATTCATAACTTATTTCCCAAGGTATTAATTTAGGCTTTTTTATAAAAAAAAATAGAATGCAATCTTTGTTATTTTCTTGCAGAACTCATGAAGGTCTGTGAGCTTCTTTTCTCACAGAAAAGACTTTTATCCTATTAGTACACAGGTACAATGGTAGTATTAATATTGTTAAGATATTTAACTCAATGGCAGTGAATCCCTTGCTTTTGAGCAGCTTGGTCAGTGATGGCAGTTTCTTCTTATCACATCCATGAAGAGGTAATTTATTTTAAACACATGGGCAGTCCGATGGAGTGGTCTCACTCTTGGCTGCTTGATTTCTCCTGAGCCTACTCTTTCTTGGCTCATCCAAATCCAGTCTCTTCTTCCTTTTCCTCCTCAGCTCTGTAAATACAGTTAACCCTCAACCAACACACAGCAGGTGGGGTGTTGAAACTTGACACTGGCTGAGTCTGACAATTGAACCAAATCCCATGGTACCATCAATAGATCTCCTCACTTTGTAATCACTGAGCTGTTGCTCCTGTATCCCCTTTTAGCTCTAACTTGTGAGCAGCGTTAGTCTCTCTAACTCCCTTAACTTGCAACTTCAGTCTCTTTTTCCCTTTCTCTCAAGTAATTTTTCTGCCTTTCTGTCTGGTTCCTATCCCTTTATCCGATTAAGCTGTTCTTTACTATAGGTAAATCATGCCACCCCTTTTCCTTTCCTTTTCTTATCCACAACATCCAAGTTAACCTTCTTCTGTTTTTCTGCTTTTCCCCCCAAACAGTCATTTATGTCTCAGAAAAGGCCTTACACCAGGGGTGTCAGACTGGTGGCTCTTGGGCCGGATGTATCATGCGCAATGGGAAAATGTTGAAAAATGTCATGTGACAGCAATGTGATGCGGCGAGTTTGACACCTGTGCCTTACACCCTTAACTCCACAACAGGAGTGTTCTTGGGCTAAGGGTAAAAAATGGCAATTATAATTTAGTTATAATTAAAACCCCAATCCTTTTTAATGTGCATCACAAATATGGGACACCCAAACAAAGATTGCAATTGCCATCTTGACTTTTTTAAAACATAGACACATACTCCATGGACAGTCGTTTTGTATCCTTTCCAATACCTAGCTTTTTTCTCAATTTTTCAAGAAAAGAATTCTCCTCCTTTTCAGAGGTGCTCAAGTCTGAATTCCTTGCAGGCTTGCAGGCTTAATGCTATTTACTAAAAAAAGTAGCTTTTCCCATGAATTCTTTACATTTATTCCCTCCAATTCTGATTCTTTCCAATTACATGTCCCTGAGCAATTAGTTTTTAACATTCAGCATTTTTGTCCAGCTTTTAGGTTTTAGGTTTTAGGTTTTATTAAATTTGTACACCGCCCTTCTCCCGAAGGACTCAGGGCGGTGAACAGGCACAAAATAAAACACATAAATACAAAAGTTAAAACATGATTAAAACCCAATTAAATAATTTTTGCCTGAGACAATTTAAAACTCCCAATAATTTAAAACGAATTAAAATTCCAGTTTAAAAAATTTAAAAGAAGGGGAGAAAATTAGGCCAGGCCGGCCTGCTGGAATAGGAATGTCTTCAAAGCACGGCGGAAAGTGCGCAGGTCCGGGATCCTCCGTATCTCCGGGGGGAGCTCGTTCCAGATAGTAGGTGCCCCCACAAAGAAGGGCCTCCCACTAGGGGCCGTCAGTTGACATTGTTTGGCTGACGGCACCTGGAGGAGCCCCTCTCTATGAGAGCGTACCGGCCGGTGGGAGGCTGTTTGTGGTAGTAGGAGGTCCCATAAGTAGCCAGGTCCTAAGCCATGGAGCGCTCTAAAGGTGGTAACCAAAACCTTGAAGCGCACCCGAAAGACCACCGGGAGCCAGTGCAGCTCGCGCAGGAGAGGTGTCACACGGGAGTGCCATGTTGCACCCATAACCACCCGCGCGACCGCACTCTGCGCCAGTTGGAGCCTCCGGGTGCTCCTCAAGGGGAGCCCCGTGTAGAGAGCATTACAATAGTAATTCATTACCACTTTCTATCAAATCCATTGAGTTACAATATAATACTGAGAATGTAGGCTATTAGGGATAAATGGGGATAGAGACATCTTGGAATGATGGCTTGGCTTCTTTTTCCTCTGGGCTCAGTTTGAACAATTAGTATGAAATATAGCCCACAGCAAGAGAAAGATGCTATTTTGGATCCTGAATTGTGTTATTTCTTACATGCTCTTCATAAAACTGGCTCTGGTTCCAACAAAATCAAGGATAGGCCTTTGTAGGTAGATGGTTCTTCCAAGTATATGCCCAAGTATATCTCTCTTTGACCTTGGCCCAGAGGAAGAAGATGCTGTTGGTTATGGAGTTTTAACTCTACTTTGTGCTTCATTCATGCATTCATTCATTCATTCATTCTGTTGCATGCTGTCCATTTTACAGAGGCAGAGACTCATTGAGATAACTGTACTCCTTTTTGCTCTTTTTTCATATAATCAAATGTATTTTATGGATGCAAAATTTCTTGCACTGTCAAGAAAGATCTCAGCGTTCTGTCCACTGATAGAAGCCTATTTACTATGTATCAGAATCTTATGAAAGAATAAACCTGTTCCATCTAATGTTGGCGATAACATGCAATCATCAGGATAAACTAATCTTTTATGAATCCATCCAATCCCCATTTATAGCTTCCCAAACAAGTGGCTATGAATGTGTCTTAGAACAGCACCTTTCATTATTCACTCAGTTATTCAAAGAATGGTCTGAATTTCCCATTTCTTCCTAAGGTTTAACTAACGAAAACACTACCAATAATGATAATATTCTCTTTATGCCCCTGTAATGGCAAAGAGTTTCACTGTGGACTGGGCACATTTTTAAAAGTCTGTAACTCTGAACTGCAAAGCAAATGTTCTGGATGCAAGCAGCTGCAAAAGCCAGGATAGTAATAGCACTTAGACTTATATACTGCTTCACAGTGCTTTACAACCCTCTCTAAGCAGTTTTCAAAGTCAGCATATTGCTGCAACAATCTGGGTCCTCATTTTACTGATCTCAAAAGGATGGAAGCTGAGTCAACCTTGACAGAAATCTAAGAAAGATTTTGCTGGAGCAGAACAATCTTTACATCTAATAACCAACCCAGACATCAGCAAGAAGACCAGAAGTGAGATATGACGTACTAGCACTGCTTCCTGTTTATACTAAGATGCTGATATTGGTAATGAACATCTGATTCTGTGCATAATATATAACCTTCATAACTACAAATTATTCATAGTTATGTCCTGACATATTTATGAACATACTTGCTTTTTAGATTCGGCAGCATTTCTACACACACACACACACACACACACACACACACACACACACCTCAAGTTGCACTCAGTTCCGGGAAGTACATTTACATTATATTTTCAAAGTTCTAAAACAAGCAGAACATAGACACTTTTGGTATATAAAGAGAATTGTATTAATAATTCTTGAGAGCAGGATATGAATACCAAACTCAGATACAGGGTCTTTTCCTCTCTGGATTCTGAACAACAGAAAGAGCAATGGATCCTTCATCTCTCTTCCAGTGAAACCTTGAAAAAAAACACCAAACAAAAGTAAAGAATGATGCATAGTTGTCAGAATTTTAATTATGAGCCATGGCATAGTACCTTTCCCAACTAGCTCCCTCCTAGCTCTTAGCTGGGAATTCTGAGAATCACAATCTAGACCAGGGGTCTCCAACCTTGGCAACTTTAAGACTTTGCTTTGCTGGCTGAGGAATTCTGGGAGTTGAAGTCCACAAGTCTTAAAGTTGCCAAGGTTGGAGACCCCTGATCTAGATGCATCTGGGTATACAAGGTTGGGAAGGTTGTCTAACAAGTGTAAAATCTGAACCTCCTAAAATACTGATGCACCTAACCCATTAAAAACCATATGTTATTTTTTTTTCCAGTACAATTCCAAGAATTATTATCAGTTAAAAAGAAGCTTAATATTATTTTGAAGATGCTACAAATTTTATAGTGTAACTTCAAACTGCTCCTCCTCTTCCTCCTCCAAATTTAATTACAAGTAATTGAAGCAATAAAACCAAATAATTTGGGTGCTCTGGGAAAATATCATTACTTTAAGTACATAGAAAGTTTCCAAAAGATATGGAAACATTGTATTGAAATAATTAGAGCAAATTGCAATACCAAAGATGAATGGATCCCACCGGGAAGCTTGGCTGAATTAAATATTTAGCCAGATTTAACTTGGTTTAACTTAACTGTGATCTCAGTGTTAATTTTCCATTCCTACAATTGCCTCTAACAACATCAAAGCATATTCAGTGGACTATATGTATGCATCATGGGCTAGTTTCAAGAGTCTAAAACAAGGAATAGAGCCAGGAGAAGGCATGTCAAGAATCAGATTCTGTGCTATCAAGCCCTATCTTAATGCTGAGCCAGCAATCAGTCTCACTATTTCTGCCTTGTACCAGGTGCCTCCTCCGTTGAGGTCTTGGGGATGCCAATATCAGAAGATAGACCTTCATTAGTTAAAGGGTCTCAGATTTGCTGACTTATGCCAAGACATAGCTAGATCTTGCAGGACTGCTCAAGAGTAAACTCAGATAAAGAATGTGGTTCATGAGAGCAGTACAATATGTAAGCAATTCAGGGGAGATACGATATAGGTGACAAGAGGCATCTTTTGGGACTCATGTGTCCTGAATATACATAATGTTCATAGTCTGCCTACTTTTTTTTCAATGGTACTGTTGCATGCTTCCCAGTTAAGTAATTAAAAGCAAAAAATCTCTTGGATGAATCAAGCTTAGATTAATAGCACAGAACAGGTATTTCAGGAAATTAAAAAGCCAGCACAAATTATTTTTCTGGAAATTATTCGCCAAAAGAATAATATATATTGAATTTGATTCATGGCACATTTTCCAAAGGTAGCTTGTTAAAATCAGTGCTTCATTGATCTAGAGCAGTCATGGCTAACCTTTTTGCTGTCGCATGCCAAAAGCAAGGGGAGCGCTGGGAGGGGGGGGCTGTTTCCCCTTGCTTTTGGCACATGACAGCAAAAAGGTTAGCCATCACTGCTCTATACACCCATAATTCAATGCACCCCGCCCCGCACATTCGCGCGTGACCCCCTGCGTATCCCCGCTTTTGGCATGCAGTGGCATGGAGGGCCCAGTAGGTCCTTTTTTCGCCTTTTCCAGGCTCCAGAGGCTTTCTTGGAGCCTGGGGAGGGTTAAAACGGGTTTCCCCCCTCCCCCCTGGAGGCCCTCTGGAGGTTGGAAACAGCCCGTTTCCCAATTTCCGGTGGGCCTGGAAGGCCCAAAAATCAGCTGGCTGGTGCGTGTATGCACACTGGAGCTGAGCTAGGGCAATGCTCATGTGCCCACAGATATGGCTCTGCGTGCCACCTGTGGCACGCATGCCATAGGTTCACTTTCACGGATCTAGAGGAAACAAAATATTCAGAGATCATTTTAACATTATTGCAGTTTCTAAAAGATAAATACTTATTCAGCTTCAGGGGGAAAAATATAACCAATTTATTCCAATAGATTTTGCTAAACTAACTTCTGGCAATGTTTGCCTCTGGTCATGCTAAGTGATTAGGCTGTGAATTATAGATCATCTATGTCCAGAAAGCCACAAATTTAAAGCCACAAATTCTGCCAACCTGCAAAGAAATTATGTAAACCAGATCAAGCTAAGCATTAGAGACTTGGCATTTACTGGGGGTCAAAGACCTCTAAGTATTTTTTGCTTCCTTGAGGAACAAGGTCTCAGCTAGGAAGATTGTTGAAGTTCCTGCCAAAATTGCTGCTACCCTGGAGAGAGCGATAATCTACAGAACCTTATACATTAGGAACCTGTAAGTCTGCACCTGAAGACTCTGTTCATTTTAACCATACATTAATAGAAAATGGAAAGCAGGCATACTTGAGAGTATAAAATGCTTTAGTCAAATGTGGGCAACAATAGATAGATAACAATATTTTACTTACTTAGTTTGCACTGGGACAAGAAGGCTGTCTCCGGCCCTTAAAATCAGGATTTCTCTATCAATAGTAACAAAAGATGCACCTTCCTAAAATGGTGGGGGAAAAGAGACAGACTTTTAATTCTTTCTGGTTTTAAAATGGAAACGGAGATAAAATTTAAAATGTAAATTTAAAAATTCACCAGTATATCTGAATAAACAAATCTTGCCTGTCTTGTACTCATCTTTGCTCTACTTCATCAATGACAGTAGGTTAATTATAGATACACACTTAAGCTGGTTGCTTTGGCAACATAGACACATTCTCACTGCTTTCCCAATGTCTACTGCTTACAATAATGTGGATAAAAAGTTTGGAAAAAAATGCTAGTAAATTTGATAGTATATTTCTGTCAGTTATCTACAACATTAAATACTTCCTCTTTCCCGTTTAGGATGCTGTCATGATTTTTAAATTTGGGGGGAAAAAATTCAAAAGATTAAGTATAACCTTCCCTGCTCCATAATAAAGCTAGCCAAAAAGATATGTCTATTAACTGGCACTGAGCAGAAACAATCAAACCAGGTGACTCACTAATAAACTAAGTTTGCAGTACATAGATTAGTTGGTCTGCCTGAAAATGGAAGGGATTACCCCACCCCACCCCCTTTCCTTTTCTACATTTCCTTTTCTACATTTCTCATCTGTTATTTGAAAAGCTTTTCAGACTAAAGAAAAAGTTCTCTAAACCCACAGCGACAGTGCAGACATTACTAAGAGGGAACCATTAGTGTGGGAAAAGGCCATCTTTATCTCATCAGAGAGATGTCGTGTCAAGCTAATTCACTTCTGCAAGAACTAAAAGAAGTCTGGCCTGAAGACAGCTGTACCTGAAGGGAAGGAGGCTCATCATCAGTAGATGCTCAGGCCCCTGCCAAGCATTCAGAGAGACAGAGTTTGTGTCTGGCTACCTTCCCTTTTTCCTACTTTTTTGCAGGGTAATTGCATTCCTTCAAAAGGAGAGAACTGATTGCACACTCAATGCTGTCAGCCTTCAGGCTTCCTGTTTTTCCCCCATTTTGGTTTCTCAAAGAGTCTTTCAGCCATTTGTAAATTGCTGGTTCAGACTCCAAAGTGATCATCAAGCAGGGGAACTCAAGTACTTTAGATTAGAAGACTGCTGCTATCTTGAGTCAAACACATCTATTCATGGATGAATTTACGGTAGTTTTTGCAGTAACTTTTCTAGAAAACTCCACCATTTGCATTCTTTTGCCAAGTTTTTTAGCTACTGCCTCCGTTTATTCATTTATTGTTATTACTTTTACTATTATAGAGATTTTTTGGCTTTAGGCAAACAAGAGGGACTTTTCTGGGTTTAAGGGCCTCATTCAAAATTAAGGCATTGAGGTATGCCTACTTACTTACCCACAGGTAGACAAACCAAACAAGTACACCCATACTTTATTGCACATCAGGATGCACAAGGTTACTGGGAGAAAGAAAGGAGAGGAATAGGTTTTGCTCTGTGAGCAGGAAAACTCAAAGAGCAGCCAAAGGGCTGCAAATGCAACTCAGGGGCTTCCACTTTTTGTGAATAAAAGCTATTTTAATTCTTTACAACACAACAGAATTTTGGAAATAAATTATGTAAATATGCTCAGAATTCTTCCATCTGCTTCTCCATTTGTTAGCAGGATAACTCTCTGGAAGCAGAACAGAATAGGATCTAATTTACTGTGGTGTGAGAATCTAACTATCAGATATTCACATTCAAAATGGGCCATATCTGGTCAGGGAGTGGGGGTGGGGAAATCCCCCCCAAAAAATCTCCCCAATACCTCCACTATGAACAGAATGCTGCCCATTGTTCCATTCTTAAGCCTCTGCTTCCTTCAGATCACATGATCCAAAATAGTGCTACTATTAAGGGGTTGGAACAAATTCTAGAAGTCATTCTTGGTATGCATTGTTATGCTGCTCTTTATCATGTTATTTCAATGGAAGTTTGGAAAGACATGATATATAAGATAGGACTAGAAAGTTCTTTAAACTTGGAACTGAATTAGATGAAATTTGGTGGGATGGGGAAAGCTGAGTTCGAAACAATCCTTAAAAAAACATTCTCTAAAACATCATTATCAGAGATACAAAAGGGAAGAAGCTGGGAATGACTGCTCCTGTCTAATGTTGCCCCCCCCCCCTTCTCAGACCAAGAATGGACAGAAACTATGAAAGACAGGCCACAGAAGCAGGGTAGCAATGAATAAAATTTGCAACAAATTTCATGTTGGTCCAGTTTTCTGCTGACTCAACAATGGGTGGATGCAGACCCCCCCCCTTTTTAAAAAAAAATTGAGGAAACATCCTTAGTTTCTAGTTACTTTTCAGGAATGTTTTAAAATGATTTTTTTTAAAAAAAGAGGAAAGTTAACTTTGCAGCAATAAATAGATTACTGCCAAGATCTCAGATCCTAATGGTAAAACAAAAGCCGTAATAAAGGGAAAATAAATAAGGGGGGTTTATGTAGGATATGGACCACTGTGGTAGAAGGGACACTGTGAAGAGTGATTATTTTTGTAGTGATCCTCCATTACTTTGTACTGTAAGGGAAAGATCAATAAGAACAATGCATGTGTTGGTTCTGAAAGTTTGTTTGGTTTTTTTAACACAATCCTGTACATAGCAAGTAAGAAATAAAGTGTATATACCATCTGCCATATCCATATATCTGCATTCTTTCCTTCCTCTTCAGTTATTCCTGGTCCGAATATTATAACCTAAGAGACAACCAAGAAAATATGTTTTTATTTTAAGATTAGGGTTAGTGTATCTACTTTATTACAGTATCTACTTTATTTTAATGGAATAACTATGTGTGTGTATAAGAAGTAGACATTCTGCGAGTTCCGGAACTAAAATAATTAAAATTTTATTCTACTAAACTTTCGTCAGCCATCTGCTGACATCGTCAGAGTATTAAACTACCATTACAGAGATTCTGTCTTTATATGCCATTAATCAATTTATAAACAAAGAATCAATGGCTGCTTCTTTGTTTACAAATATATCTGGAACTCGTATTTTTAGAATAGTTTGTGTTTATATATATATATAATGTAATATGTGAGGAAACACATCACACTTGTTCATAATATAACTGAAATATATCATATTTCTTAGAAATAAGAAACTCTTTCATCATATAGTAGAAAGTAAAAAAGGAATATGCCATATACCCTTGTGACACACCTCTCTTAGTTCAGTTAGTACACAGTTTATTTTTGACTATTCTTGAATTATGAACTCAACCTATTATATCCAAAATTTTCTCCTTTCAAAGATTCAAAGGATTAGCTTTTGCAGCATCTGTTTTTGAAATAATGGTTTTCACACCATTTCATTTTCCCCAGTAACTACGCTTACTGTGAGGAGTATTATCACTCCCATTGTGCATGGAGGCTGAAAATAACACCCAGTTCATGGCACAAGACCTGGTTTCATGCAAAATATTCCCAACTGATCTTCACAGCTTTATTAGCTAAGAGAGTTTGTTCAGAATAGAAAGTCCCGATTTAGACAGTTCTAAGTTTAGGAATTCCCAAATATGGCTTCGGATTTGTTTAAAGGTGAATTGACACGGCTCCCCCTTCAAGAGGTTGATGTAATCATTGGATATTTTCCATTGCTTCATTTCCTTAATTTCTCTTGCTGCAACAAGGAAGTTTTCAGCACAGGTGGCCCTGGCACAATGGAAAATTTCCAAGAACATTGTTGGAAAACTAACAAAGAACATACCGTAACTTGCCTCTTTGGTGGATCTGAAGTCACATCTGGTACTGTTTTTAGTACAAATAGAAAATAAGATGAAAATGTACCAAATACAGCACTAAAGGGTGCGTTAAGAATTGGAGATCTAAATCATGCAACAACTCCGTTGTAATTATATCTTTCCTTAAGAGAGATTATGTTTCAATTCTTTCAAACTAAAATTATTTTACATATATATATTTTTCAAACCAAAACTGTGGCCAGATAACAGATCTATGGATTTTATTTTGACTTTACTCCAGTGGCTGTAAAACTCCTTTCTCCTAGTTTCTAAAAAATCTTGAAATAAAGTTTTATTTTACTGATCTTTCAATCCCTAGCTAAGTTTTATCAGCAAGTACAATAATACAAAAATATTTGTGGTGTAGCATTATCCAGATTAGAAAGCGAGCTTTGTGTAAGGGTTAAGGCCATGAGTTCTAATCCCACATTGGCACAAAGCTGGTTGGATGACCTTGGGCCAGTCACTTTCTCTCAGCCCTAAGAAATAGGCAATGGCAAACCACTTCTGAAGAGTCTTGCCAAGAAAACTAAAGGGACTTGTCTAGGCGGTCCCTGAGAATTGGACATGATTTAATAAAAGGAACAAAATATCATCCATACACATTTCCACCTTGGAGATGCAACTGATGTTTATCCAGTGCCTTGAGTCTGGATGAGGCAGAACAGATGAAGGCTAATCCCTATCAAGGCTTTCTATTGAAATAGTGTTGTTTCTGCCAAATACTACTCTGAAGGAGCAAGTTTACAGTCTGGGCATCCTTCTTAATACATAGCTCCTGCTGGCACAGGTATAAATTGTAATTAGAGAGATCTTTGCCCAGCTTTAGTTAATACAGTACATAGTTTTTTAACCAGATATAAGACCATCTCAATACAGCAACACATTCCTTCATTACAACCTATTTAGACTAAAACCTATTTTTTCCAAGGCTGCTGGTTACACTCTCAAGATCATCTCAATGGTCTGGAACCACCCCGCCCTACTTGCTTTTTAAGAGGCATTTGGTCGCACCCTTTATATTGGTACATTCACCCTCATGTTCTTATCATGTATGCTCGCTCCACCCCGGTTGTCCTTTTTTTCTCTACCTTTCACCTGACACCCATATATGCTCATTACCGTTCCCCTCACCGGGGTAGACCATCTAGTCCGGGTGGAACTATATTCTTGGCCTAGCACATTTCCTATACGTGGATATAAGAGATACGCGGATATTGAGATACAAGAGCATCTCAATACAGCAACACATTCCTTCATTACAACCTATTTAGACTACTGCAATGTGCTTTTCCTTGAGCTATCTTTAAAGAATATTAGAAGCAGCACTGAGCTTAAATGCAGTGGCCAGTGTGCTAACTGGCACCAATCCTGGGAAAATTGCAATATACCAAAGTGCTAGTTACTGATTAGTTTCTGAGGGAAATTTAAAGTGCTGGTTATGATCTATAAAATATTGTATGGCTTATGGCTTGACACCTGGATATCTACAGGACTACCTGCTCCAACCTATCCAGACTAGACCAACCTATCATGTCACCTAGAGAAAAACTATTCCTAATTCTCCACTTGTAAGTAGGGAAGAAGCCAGGAGGTTGTAGCACCTGGGGTCTCTCTCTCTCGGTAATGTTCAGGCTGGCATCACCCCTGCTTGCACTCAGGAAGAATCTGAAGATTGAGCTGCTCCAGATTTCAAATTCTAGCCCGTGTAGTAGATTTTTTTCTATATTTTTCTTTGTTTTTGTTAGAATTTATTGTGATATAAAATACAATAGAAACAAAGATCAGAAAGAAAAGGGGAAAAGTCAAGAAGGGGAGAGAGATACAAGGTAAAAAGAAAAAAAGCAGTGATTTCTGAGTGTTTTTAGTGCAGTAGAATAGTCTATTTTCCTTGAGAGTGTTTTTGTTATTGGGATTAGGGAATTAGCAAATCAACAGTAGATAGATTTACCCGTTTCTGCCTTTATATAGATGTAATTGTATGAGAGAATGACTTTGAAAAACAGGCAAAGAGATGCTGCCTGAGGAACAACAGATAAGAGGCTGCATAGCTCACAACTGCATAGTGGATGGAGCAAAGGGTTCAGGAGGGACATTCCCTAAATTATCAGGCTGTAAAAGTGATGGTGATTTGCAAGATTCTGTTAATGTAGCTTTACAATAAAGTCAAATTATTTTATAGAGCCATGTGTCCTGTCTGATGAATAGAAGAGTAGGGTCAGTAGGTGAGCCGGGAAGTTCGATTGCACATCAGGGTTAGTATTTATAATTTAATTAGGCATAAGGAGACATAATGTCAAGTGTGATGGGAAGATAAAATTTTCTTCTGGGAAACAAATTTTTGCCATGAGTACCAAAATCTACAGGTAATTTACTAATTGTAGATACTATGCACCAGTGGTGAAATCCAATTTTTTTTTTACTACTGGTTCTGTGGTCGTGGCTTGGTGGGCATGGCTTGGTAGGAGTGGCAGGGGAAGGCTACTGTAAAATCTCCATTCCCACCCCACTCTGGGGCCAGCCAGAGGTGGTATTTGCCGGTTCTCCAAACTACTCAAAATTTCCGCTGCCGGTTCTCCAGAACCTGTCAGAACCTGCTGGATTTCACCCCTGCTATGCACCTAGACTTGTGTGTGAGAGAGAGAAGGAGAAAGAGAAAGAGAAGCAAAATATCTTGGTCAAAATAAATCTTCCAACAGGATATAATTTCTTCAATTATAAGAAAATCTTATTTGATCCTTCTAGTTCAGAATTAAAAATTGATTTTTTTAACCTCTGTTTCAAAGTTGTCTCCAAAAAGACTCAAGGATTGTTTCAGAGCTATATTTTCTTTGTAATCATTCAGCCAATCTTGCAAAGAAAAAGGATCCATGACCATGACATCATTGAGTGGGAAAGGGATTGCTCTTACGATTTCATCTACAAACAAATAAAAAATAAAAAGAGAACAAAGATATTGAAAAGACAATGTTCTATATTATACTTTTTTTATTTTTGATGATTCAAACCTAATAAGAGAAAATTGGAACGCTAAAAGTAGTACTAATGAAGGAGAATATTTGTAGCTCAGGGTTGAAATGAAGGGTCCTTGGTGCGCTCTGAGCTGGGTTATTTTCTTGCAGATGTTTCATTAACCAAGACTTCATTGGGTAATGAAATGTCTGCAAGAAAACAACCCAGCTCAGAGAGCACCAAGGACCTCTCATTGAAAGTGTTTGATAGTATCTAGTATGAGAGGTGGTGGCAGGGGTGGGTTCTAACCGGCTTTACTACCAGTTCTCTTTGTGTGCGCACTTTGCGTGCGATTGCTTCTTTGGTTGCATGCTTTGTGTGCGATCGCCGCGTGCATGCTTGGTTCGCTCGCAGGCACACCAAACTTGCGCTTTGCGCAAGCGCGTTGCGAATCTGCCCAGCTGAGGTGCAGCAATCCGCTCTGCCGCATCTCTCAGCTGGGCGAAAAAAGCAGACATATAAGGTCAGTATAACGCAGGGGTGGGTGGCAGGGCCCAGCTCCCGAAGACAGAGAACTGGTTTGGTGATGTCATATTGTCACTGCTACCGGCTCTCGCGAACTGGGCTGAACCGGGAGGAACCCACCACTGGGTGGTGGGTTCCCCTTCATTGTTCTCACCAGGCTCAAGGTTGACTCAGCCTTCCATCCTTTCTAAGGTGGGTAAAATGAGGACCCGGTTTGTGGGGGCAATAAGCTGACTTTGTATAAAATATACAAAAGTATGAAGGCTATTGCTTAACGCATTGTAAGCCTCCCTGAGTCTCCGGAGAAGGGCGGCATAAATAAATAAAAAAATAAATAAATAAATAAATAAATAAATAAATAAATAATTGTATATATATATTCAGATGAACAACTATCAGTCACAAATGCTTCATTCTGAATATCTGACAAAGCAGGGGGTTGAATACAATCCAGAATAGAATTGTTTAGTGTTTTTCCAGAATGTAAGGAATATGTATACATTACAGGGAAGCAGATTTCAACTTCAACTTGACAGCAGAAAGAATTTCCTAATAATAAGAGCTGTTCATCAATGAAGCAAACTGTCTTTGGTAGGCTCTCTAGTATTTAAACAGAGGCTGGGTAACCCCCTTTTGGGGATTATAATACTGGGTTCCAGCATGGGATAGGGACAGTGTGGGATTCACGTAATTTAACAACTGGTTCTCTGCCCTAATGATTTCTTCCAACAACCAGTTTGCCAAACTGCTCAGAAAGTTAACAACCGGTTCTCCCGAAGTGGTGTGAACAGGCTGAATCTGAACACTGGACAGGGAGCTGGTCTAGACAATCTCCACATTTCCTTCCAACTCTAGCATTCCATGATTTTTCCAAGTGTGTGACTCAATTTTTTTTATTACCGATTCTGTGGGTGTGGCTTGGTGGGCTTGGCCTGGCTTGGTGGGCTTGGCCTGGTGGGCATGGCAGGGAAAGGATACTGTAAAATCTCCATTCCCTCCCCACTCCAGGGGAAGGATACTGCAACATCCCCATTTCCTTCCGATCAGCTGGACTTGGGAGGCAGAGAATAGATGGGGGTGGGACCAGTCAGAATTTTTACTACCAGTTCTCCGAACTACTCAAAATTTCCGCTACTGGTTCTCTAGAACTGGTCAGAACGTGCTGAAACCCACCTCTGGTGTGACTCTTTTATTATATTGCACAGCTCTGGGAAACAGAATGGGTTGAAAAATTAAATACTATTTTCCAAAACTTGTTGCTCTAAATACTGCTGTACACAAACTGCACTTATTTCTGAAGTGCATTTAATAAACAATAGATGATTCAGTGTGATTTGTTATATATGATTAACGTTAAACATAGTGAACCTTATTTCTATTGTTTATAAGCTACTTGGGGAGGACTGTTATCAATTGTATGTTGGAGCTGATTCATACCAGCTTGTGAGAGCCAATCTTACATTTTCAAGAAATTTGTGAACCAATTTAGAACAGAGCTGAGCCCCAACCAATGTAAATGAGTAGTAGCTTTTAACTGGTTTCCCTGACTTTATCGGAGTAGAGAAACCTGTACATTCTCTTGTGCCTTGTATTTTTATAATAGATGTTCCATCCATTATTCACTTTATTGGGGAACTCCCCCTTTCAAACATTTTAAATTATCATGCTGCATAACACAGTCCATTTCCATATTCCCCCATACTACTCAGCAATATTTTGGAGACTCATGTCTCTCTGTGGAACAGAATTGGTTATCACCCTTGTAAATGAAATGTACTATTTTAATAGATTAACAGAGTTGAAAGGCACCTTGTAGGACATCTATTCCAACCCCCTGCCCAAGCAGGAGACTCTACCTAGGATTGAACTCACAACCTCCTGATTGTGAGGCAAGAGCTCCATCTCTAGGCCACAGCAGCTGCTTCTGTTTGTATCTAAACTGTCTGAAAGATAAGTGGGCATTTTAAATTCTCTTCTGAAATTTTCAGATCTATACCTTATGAAATTAACTGCAACATTCTGTTAAGAACAATAATAAAATCCCAGTTCCCACCCACTTTTTACTCCTCAAAAGCAATGGGAGTGCTTTCATAATATGTCCTTGGGATGCTTTTTCAACAACGGCCCAAACATGATGCAGAAAAATATTGAGTATCTCAGTGGTATCCCAAATGTTCATTAACAACATCCGCTTCTAATTTCATCAGTATAATTGGCTGGATGAGGTGGGGGTAGGTGGTGGGTGGGAACGATGATATTGCATTTGTTTTCAGCCTATTACGATGTTTCTGCTATTATGGTGTAATAACATTGCTTAATTGCTGCAACTTGTTTTTCCTATGATAACTTCTTATACACATTTTAAATGAAAGAGGTTGGTGACTGAAAACTGATGGAAATAAAGCAAAAACCAGTTTATATATGTAAGTTAAGACAAAGAATTATGATTCACATCACAATGAACATCACATTAGTGATGAGATCAATAATCTGTTGCTGGGTACATCCTCTCATTTTTACTATTTTGAATTTTTATTCATTCCAGTGGTGGGCTGGGAGGGGGGGAGTCTACAAAACCCTTTAGAAGAGTATTATGCCCTAAAAACTCATTTTATGTACTTAGTTTTATTTGTAGTCTACAATGCATTATTTGTATTTTGTAATAAAATGATTAATTTGGAAAAAAATCACTTACAACACCTTCACAATCTAAAATAATTTACAATGAAAATATAGAAGTAGACATCCTAATCTAGGATGCTAAATATTTTCATATGACATCTTAGGGGTCTGGAGCAGGGGTGGGTTCTAAATTTTTTTACTACCGGTTCTGTGGGCGTGGCTTATTTTGTGGGCATGTGTTGATGGTCATGTGACAATTATTTAGGATTTAGCAGAGGTACTGGTCTATCAGGCTTTTAATTGCTTGCAGAGCTGTACCTATCTACCCATTTATTTTTGCAGGCACTGGTCTACTCATTTATTTTTGCAGGCATTGGTCTACTCATGTATTTTTGTAGGCACTGGTCTACCCATTTATTTTTGCAGACACCGGTCTACTCATGTATTTTTGCAGGCACTGGTCTACCCAATTATTTTTGCAGGCACTGGTCTACTCATTTGTTTTTGGAGGCACTAGTCTACCACCAAACTGCCTTTTATCACTGATCAGCTGTAGGGCAGCCCTTTGAAGCCCCACCGCAAGAGTTTAAACAGTTTTTTTTTCCTTATAGCCCATCAGCTGGGACTCAGGAGACAGCAATAGATTGGGGGTGGGGCCAAATAAAAGGTAAGAATAACGTCTAGTGGGGGTGGGGGGGCAGGGTGTGGGGAGGGCAGAACCAGTTCGGTGATGTCATATCATCACCACTACCGGCTCAGCGGAATCGGGCCGAACCGGGAGGAACCCACCACTGGAGGCTAAACTGTATGATGAATGGTTATGAGAACTAGGTATATCTAGTCTAGCAAAGAGAAGGACTAAGAGTGACATGATAGCAGTCTTCCAATACTTGAGGGGTTGTCACAGAGAAGCGGGCTCAATCTAATATCCAAAGCATCTAAAGCAGGACAAAATTATTAAAGAAGATTATTAAAGAAAGATCCATCCTAGAATTAAGGAGAAACTTCTTGACAGTGAGAACAATTAATCCGTGGAACAGCTTCCCTCGGGAGGTTGTAGATGCTTCACTGGAGGCTTTCAGGAAGAGATTGGACAACCATTTGTCCAGAATAGTATAGGGTCTCCTGGATCAAGCAAGGGTTGACTAGACTTCAAAGGTCCCTTCCAACTCTGTTATTCTATGTCTTCTGTGATTTCTATTTTTTAATGCTAAACTGCATTCATATTTTCACTATATAAATTGTCAAAAAGGCAGCAGTACACTTGCTCAAGATGCTATGGAAAATTGGATATCTTTAGAAGCCAAGCATGCTGTTCATCATTGAAATACAACTGTTTCCCAAAATTAAGTATATTTTCTAGTTCCCAAAATGAATCCAGATTTTCTTAAACTGCCAAGGCTGCTATGATCATGTGAAACACTAAGAACAGGCTGTGAGTGTTCTCACAATAGCAGCTGGGTAAAAGAGAAGCATGTTCATACACACAATGGCTGCTAAAACTACAGTACACATTTGTACCTTTGTTCTTTTGTTGAGGTTGTGGGGAATCAGAAGTAGTAACACGTTCAAGCAAAGCAGTAGATAGAAATTGTCTATCATTTTTATAGACAGGTAGGGCAGAAAGTGTCTGGGGACTTTCCAAGCACAAAGAAAAGTGTCTGGAGATACTTTAGTATTCCACTGATACCTATCCAGTTCATAATATAGTCACCTGTCCAAGTTTTCATAAGGATATGAAGGAGATATGTTAGGAGAGTAGAACAATGTTGTGACTCTAAGCCTTTCCTTCAATTGATATATCCTTGGTAAGCTCGGGAGACCTTGCACTATCTGTTTCCCTTCAGGCCAAATATCTCTCTCTAAGGAGGTCCTTGGACAAAGTGCAATGCTGAAAATCTCCTCAGAGTGTGAGAAGATCCCTGTCACCAAATATGTACAAATACATCTGGAAGGAACCAGGCACAAGTGGCTATGGAGAAACAGTGGAAGGGTGTGCAGGTTATGGCTACCCTATAGTAATAGCCTTACTACTTTAATTAATCCTCCTCATTAATGGTTTTAGAATTAAATCTTTGCCAGCCTATTTCAAATCACTCAGAAGTCAACCAGAAGTTCCCAACTTATCCTCTGCCCACCCATTAGCCAAGTTACTCCATGCCCAATGTACGAAACCACCCTTATAGCATTCCCCAAAAATGGCTATCTAAAGAGGACCTTACAGATCTTTAAGGACCTAAAGGGGAGAGAACCCACCATTCTTTTAAGCTGACGTTAAAAAGGGAAGGTATAGAAAGAGAGTAAAAATAAAGCCCATTCTCTCTGGTGATGGATAGAGAAATCAAAGTAGAATTTTGCAGGAATGGTATAATCACTGTTTTTGCAAATATACAGAGTGTGGAGGATTTCCCTGCTGTTTGGGACTCAGGCATAATAATGACTGTGGCTTGGGACAACTGGAGATCTCAATCTGCCTGCTGAGTTCAGCTTGGAAAATAATTAATCCTTTTCCCTTTCTGTGGCACGTATTTTATTATTGAATAGAGGAAAAAAGGCAACTTTTCCCATGCAATGTTAATTCCATTTAGAGGAATATTAAAAGCAAGCAAATGATAAGAATGTAAGAAAAATAAAATTAGTTAAGCTTTTAAAATTATTATTGTTTGCTGGATGAAAAATTATTTTAGTTTCAAAGTTTACATCACCTGGATTGGGTTTTCCAGTTTGATACTGCATTGAACTGAAAAATCTGAAATAAAAAAGGTTAACAATTCTAAAATCCATCATCTCTTACTTCAGATTGTATAGAGAAAAACCATTGATTAATAATGGAATCCCTTTGATTGATGAAATTATTACAGGATATAGTTTATATTCAAGCTTTATGGACATTTCTCATACTCATTTCCAAGATGCTCCATGTTAAGTTTATTGTACTTTGACAAAATTTAGGATTCTTCCAAGATTATGGATACCACCTTCTAGAATATTTATGGTGCCATTTGGACCATCTAAGGCACATCTCTCAAAGCATTGATACTGATATTATATGATGATATAGTTCAGGTATTTTATTAGTGTGGCTTTAGAATAAAAATGAGGCATACAGAAAAAGGGAGTAGCTTTGTATAAACAATTATGAACAAAATAAATACAGGACACAATTTGACAAGATCATTGAGAAATAAAACTACCTCCTTCGAATAATTCTGAAACAGCAAACTACTTTCAAACAAGTGCAAATACATAGTAATGCTATAAATCAAACCCAACTATTAATCTGCATAATGAAATGGTTTCAGCTATGTGACAGATGATCTCAAAAAATTTATACAAGGAGGAACCTGATTAGAATTTGGACACCAGAAATTTCAGAGACATTTCAGGAAAAACATTCTGGGAGGGTGAAAATAATGGCCAGCCCTTTCTGTTGTGGCCAAAAAACCCCACATAGATCTTCCCAGAAAGTCCCAGGAATGAAGCTCAACCTGAAGAAGACTTACTCTTGAATTATTGGAATAAGTTGTATACCAAGATCTTCACAGTAAAACCATCTTTCAAAAAGGACATCTGTTGATTCTCCAACATAATATCTGAGAAAAGGAGGAGGGGGGGAAATACAAATCTTGTAGATTTCTTAATAAATATAGAATATCTTTAATATAGAAAAGAGAGGACAATTTCCTCTTTAAAATAATGTATTTTGTCATGAACATGAAAAAAATGAGTGCATAATGCTTTGAATTTAATTCAGACAAGGCTGAAAGTTTGGAAAAACTAGCTACGTGCTATCAAATGAGATTAACAGAACAGAAACTTGTAACAGACTAACAGAATAGAAATGGACTTGAAAGTCTTCTAGTCCAACCCACTACTCATGCAGGAGACCCTATATCATTTCAGACAAATGGCTATCCAGTCTCTTCTTAAAAACCTCCAATGGTGGAGCATCTACAACTTCTGAAAGCAAGTCATTCCACAGGTTGATTATTTTTACTGTCAGGAAATTTCTCCTTAGTTCTAGGTTGCTCCTCTCCTTAGTTATCCATTGCTTCTTGTCTTGTCTTCAGGTCTTTTGTAGAATGACACACACACACCTTCTTTATGGCAGCTCCTCAAATATTGGAACACTGGAACACTGCTATCATGTCACCCCCTAGTCCTACTTTTCAACCTTAACCGTAACCATACCCAATTCCTGCAACTGTTCTTCATATGTTTTAAGTCTCCAGCTCCCTAGATTAGATTAAATTTAACTCATTAGATAACTATAATTATATGGCAGCAAATCCATGATCTCAAGAATGAATGTTTTTCCTCATGGTAGGAAATGTGATACAAGGAAGTGACAGATGGGAGAGGATAATGAATCCTTCTCCCTCCAGTTGCATTAACATCAAAAGGATTTGATTAAATGATGTTTTGTGCCACCACATATTTAACTCAGCATTGATAAAAACTACATACCGAGAAAACTATGCCGTTTTCTCCAGTACTGGATTTCTGAATATTTTAAGCCCTATAATGTCCATCAAAGTCTGAATGCATGTAGTTTGAGAAAGAGAATAAACTCCAAACATCCAAATATGCTACATTCAATTGCATAAAACACTGGGTCCACATCCACTAATACATTATAGTTTTCAGAGCTCTGACTGCATACAGACCTTCTTTATTCATTTAAATTTATTTATTATGTTTAGAAACCGCCTATCCCCCTGGACTCTGGGATGAATAAATAAAATGTTAAAAACATGTTAAAATGTTAACAATATAACAACGGAATATAAATGTAAACTGAAAATTCAAAGCAGGGTAAGAATATGTGACATTAAAAGTTAATTAAAAGGGAGGGGCTTTCAGAGTACTAACCAACCCCACAGCTACGTACTCCTCTGTCAACCACAAGCAAGATGGCAGAGTTAAGTCTTTAAATATTTTTGAAATGTCATGACATTAGGGGCTACCTTGACCCTTTGGAGAGAATATTCCGAAGGGCAGAGGCAACAGTAGAGAAAAATGTCTTCCTGGACCCGACCAGTCATAATTCTTTAACAGGGTCTGCAACATACCTTCCCTGTCTGACCTGGGGGAATAGGCTGAGGTGATGGGGGCGGGATTAGACGGTACCATAGGTAACTTGGCCCCATGCCATGTAAGGTTTTAAAAATCATAACCAACAATTTGAATTGGATCCAGAAGCAAACTGGCACCTAATGCAGCTCATACAGCAAAGGTGTTACAAAAGCCATTCTTTGGGTGCCCAAGATTGCTCATGCAACTGCAAGCTTCTAGATATTTTTCAAAGATAGCCCCATATAGCACATATTGCTATAGTCCAACTCCAAACAGAAGTTGACCAGGGCATAAGTGACCAAACAGAGTTTGTATACTTAATTCTTCTGTTGAATTAAAGATACAGTACAGAAAGCTTGATTCTAGTGACCCAAGACTCTATAGCCATGATGGCGAACCTCTGGCACATGTGCCACAGGTGGCACACAGAGCCCTCTCTGTGGGATGTGAGCTGTCACCCAGTTCAGCTTCACCCCACATGTGCCTGCACCTCCTGACTGCCAGCTGATTTTTAAGTCTCTGCCGCACATGCGAGAGGGTGGGGCGAATGCAGCAGATGTGCATGCATCCTGGGGGGGGTCCTGTGTGCATGGGGGGGCCCCCCCATGCACACAGGACCCCAGGGAGCTGAGGGTGCACGGGGGGGGGGTGCGGCACCCCACCCATAGCCTGTTTTGGGTTTAGCAGGCCTCCCTGCAGCCTCCTGGGACCAAAAACAGGCTGCGGCCCATTTTTCGTCCCAGGAAGCTGCAGGGAGGCCTGCTAGACCCAAAATGGGGCAGAGTGGGTCGTGCGCACATGCGTGGGGGGGGGGAAGTGCTTGTAGCATATGTACATGCATGGGGGAGGGTGGGGGGCATGTGCACAGGCGTGCGGGGTCGCACACACATTGCATTATGGGTGCAGGCACATGATGACAAAAAGGATAGCTATCACTGCTCTATAGAGAAGCCAGAGCATTTTCCACAGCATAGCACTGTCCATATGCTCATATAATTTATTAATGGAGATAAAGATTTTAGATTACTTTTCAACTCTAGCAGCCATCAGAGTGGCTTATAATGATAAAGTCAGATTTATAACAAAATTATATCTCACCTCAGTCCATCAGTTTCTGTTTCTAATCTTCTCCTTTCAATTACCAGTCCCACAGAGTTTGCATACCTTTGTGGAGAATGAGGAATCCTGGCTGGTAAAAGAAACATCTAAGAACAAAATTAAAGTTGAAACATGTAGCAACAGCAGGAGTTTGGTTACATCTTCTCTGTCATCTCAGTTGGCCTTTGTTCTTCCATTCTACTTTTCCTTGAATGCCTTGAGTGATTGAAAAGGAGTTTAGCCATAGGAGGAAATGTAATGGGAAGAAAGAACAACCTTGAGGAACAGCAGGAAGAGCCCCTACCAAGATAACAGTCAGATAAAAGAAATCTAAGTCTAGAGCAGAGAAGACCCTCCTCCCTAATTCTTGTGAAGATAAAAGGAGGGGGGGAATGCATTCAAACCAGTTGTAACATAATAATCACAGTATTAGCATTCATGACGTTTGTTTCCTAATATGGTCTAGCTTGAAAGGCTCAACAGGATGAGACAGAGGAATCATGCTTTCTGTGAGACTTATATGCTCAGCTGTACAGAATGAAAAGTTCACCTCTTGAATAATTGCTGGCTCAAAGGAGTGTGTTCTGATGCTGTTGATTGCCCACTATGTAGGATTGAATGGCTGCTTCCTGCTGAGCAAGCAGACCTTGTACAGAGAATGTGGGAAGAATATAAGGTAGTTATGAAGAAGAAAACTTAGCAAGTGAGCTAAGTTTTTAGGTTTGTAGTAAGAGTTGAATGTCTATCAAATTTTCCTTCTAAGAGGAAAATGGACATTACCTTAATCTGAGGGCCTAAGAAAGGTACAAGAAGAAATAAATGCTTTTCTAATGACAGTGCCTTAAGAAACAGAAGTGAAGATAAATAGAACATGGCTCTATAATTGTGACTTGCAGTGCTTTTGACATGTTCAAATCAAATCAAATCAAACCTTTATTGTCAATGCACAACATGTGTACAATGAAATTGAATGAGCCTCCCTTGGTGCAGCCCCTCCCCAAACACAAAATACATCTCAATAGAATAGAATAGAATTTTTTATTGGCCAAGTGTGATTGGATACACAAGGAATTTGTCTTGGTGCATACGCTCTCAGTGTGCATAAAAGAAAAGATACTTCATCAAGAATCATAAGGTACAACACTTAATGATAGTCATAGGGTACAAATAAGCAATCAGGAAACAATATCTATATAAACCATAAGGATACAAGCAACAAAGTTACAGTCATACAGTCATAAGTGGGAGGAGATGGGTGATGGGAACGATGAGAAGATTAATAGTAGTGCAGACTTAGTAAATAGTTCGACAGTATTGAGGGAATTATTTGTTTAGCAGATTGATGGCGTTCTGGAAAAAACTGTTCTTGTGTCTAGTTGTTCTGGTGTGCAGTGCTCTATAGTGTCGTTTTGAGGGAAGGAGTTGAAACAGTTTATGTCCAGAATGTGAGGGGTCTGTAAATATTTTCACAGCCCTTTTTTTGACAGTATACAGGTCCTCAATGGAAGGTAGTAACTCAATAAATGAAATAAATAGAATCCCTAAGCCCAAATAGGTAATAACTAACATACATTCCCATATACCCATGTTTGTGTTTGTTCATGAAAATAACCTGACATATATTACAAAAGCTACAAACTTGTAGCAATGCTTGAAGAAAAAATTGAGAATTGGAAGAGAGAATGGTCATAGTGCAGTTTATGAGAAAGTAAAAGATTTATTAGGGCAAGCAAGAGTCACTGCAGCAAAAGCTAACAGTGGAAGTAATTCTACATAAGAAAAATAATCAAAGTAACGAAGAGTTGTCAAAGAGTAACAATTAATAACAAAAAACATAAAATATATTCTGCCAAGCAGAACTCAGGAAATTATATTGCAGAGGATATTGGCTTTGAGCTTCTGGGGAAGTAGAGAAACTATTTTCTCCTAAGGGAAGAAGAAAACAATAACACACTCCCTTTCCTAGATATACTCATCAGTGGAGGCAGTGATGGCAAATTACAAACACAAGTCTATTGAAAAACTACCCAGATCACCAAGTGCTCCATTATCAAAGTAACAACCCAACCTCTCACAAGAGAAGCTGTGTAAGAACACTATTTAGACGACCATAAACACTCTGCAGCACCCTGAACCAATGGAAACAGAATGTCAGGCCTGCCTCCATTCAAAACCCAAGAACCCCCCGCTCCCCGACTCCATTGAAGTGGAAAAGAGATACTTTTATTGAGTTTGAAATGACAGTAGTGAAAGAAAAGCAAGATCTGAGCCAAAAGGCGCGAAAATTACATATTGAAAGTTTCTCCAAATCCCTCCCCCCAGGGACCTAGGCTAAAGGTCCAATCTACATCTTGTATAGTGTCGTGTGGGGCACATCTTCAGGTGTTTTCATCCATGTGGAGTTCTAGGACGGTTGGCCTTGACTGGGTATAAACAACTCCACTCAGCAGCACAGTAATTCTGGAAAGCAAAGCTCCCTTTTCGTTCACACGGGCCTTCATCACACCAGCACACTTCCCAAAACCCAGTGTCATGCCCCCACTCCCTGTTACTATTACAGCCGATAGCAAGCAAGCATCAAAAGGAAAACCCATGCTGGAGATCCTTGTTGACACAAAGCATCTATACAATGTGTTCCAACAAAATGGATATCCATACAACTTTATCAAAAAGCGCCTAACCATTGAACCTACCATCACTCAACTGACACAAGTTATGAAAAGAATAACACTGCCATATATCAAAAACATATCAGAAACCAACAACAGACTATTACAACCATGTGGCATCACCATAGCACACATACCAACTAAATCCCTCCAAAACATCCTAAGTAAACTAAAAGCCCCAGAAGAAAAAAAAACCCAGGAGTCAGATACAACATACAATGTAAGGAATGTAACAGTCACTATGTAGGACAAACAGGTAGAAGCCTAGCAGAGCACATCCATGAACACCAGCTAGAACAATCAGAAGGCATGATGAAAACTCCTTAATTTCACAACACATGGACAGACTTAGTCATATTTTCAACTGGGAATCTGTGAGCATCCTAGATCAAGCCAAGTTTAAAAATGCCAAATGATTCTGGAGCCCTGGCACTCTGACAAATAGGTTATCAACAGGCACAGAGAGATAAACAATATCTACATACCATTCAAAAGAGACAATCAAAAATCCCAAAACATTTCCTCACACAATCAACACCCATATGAGCAGAACAACCAAGAAGTAAGCAATACCTCAATCAAGGAACTACCAACACAAACAAACAAGCTAATAGTAAACAACAGCCTAATCAAGGAACCACTAAGAACACTACCATCAACACTGAGAGGGCAAGCCACTTGTATGTAAACAGAGAGCAAACCCCACTCCCTTCCAACACTGATGATGTTACTTAGTTTGGTAATGAAACATCTGCAAGAAAACTACCAGTCTTAGAGAGCACCAAGGACTATACAAACAGAAAAACTGCTAAACAGCAGATAGGAGGGTAGATCCTTGAATACCTGTCCCTTGGAAATGATAGAGTAAGACAGTGGCAATTTACAACTTGTGAGGAACAGGAGAAACTGTCTACTGATCTCATCCTTAAGCTTTTAAAAGGTATCTGGCATATCTATCATTTACGATCATGACATAACAATTTGAAGATTTATTCCTTCCTACTAATCCAAGTGGGGCAAATGATATTGACAAAGAATTAAAAATTAAAAATTAACACTGCTCAACAATTATTTGCATTTATCCTGTTGGATATGGAAGAAGAAGGGAAAGAAGATAATACTGCAGGGGAATAACAGGCTTTGAAAATGATAATAGTGGGTTTCTGGGACCATATTAAATTGTGTAGTTCACAGGCTATTGGCATGAAAATAGATGTAGTTCAAAAGTACTAGTAAAATGTCACTGCTTGGGAAGGCTTTAAAATTAATATTGAGAAGACTCAGTATTTTAGTCTTTCAGAGGACTAAAAAATCTGAAGTAACAATCTCAGATAAGACTTGTACCCTTAGAAAGGTAGAAATGCTCCTCTGAAGTAGTCCAATAAACTATCTAACATCTAGCATTAATTCAAATGAAAATGTTTGTTGAACTATTGTAAACATTCCATTAAGAGAAGAAAACATAAGAACATTTAAGCCAACAAATAAACTCAAAATGTTTAGTGAAGATGTGAAAATGAAAAAGTAAAATGTAGGTGACTGAAAGAGTTAGTTCACCATGAAAGTATACATAAAAGGTAGCCCAGCTTTGTAGAGAGGGCATATGGAAAACAAAAGGTCAGAATAAACTAAGAATGGGGGGGGGGGGGGTTTCCATGCATACATTCAGAAGAATTGCATCTGAGAGTATTATGGGAATTAATTGATGGGCTGGATGAACCTTACATATTATCTTTGCAACTGATTAAGTAAAGTCCAGATGATTGGAGGACAGAAAATATAATCAAAGAAGGGGGGATGGGAATCTGGGGACCTAGAGTCATATTAGAACAACATCAATAATTAGGAAGTTGTAGAACAAATTATAATGAGATCAGTCTATAAGCACCTGGAAAACTGTGTGATAATAGACATGAGACAGCATGTCCAAATTATTTTCACAGGAAAAAGAAATTAAATCCACAGGTACAGAAGGAAGGCTACCTGATGAAAGAGTTCACATACCAGGTATGGCAATAAATCTCAACTCTCCCATCAAGCCACAAGCAGTTGGACGAGATCAAAGAAGAAAATCTATAGAGATTTATTTAAAGATAGCCTGGAGTACATACAGAAACAGAAATCTGGAAACAGTAAAATACAGAAACCTGGTAACTGTAAAAGGGATTCCCTACTCTCTTTTATAGTGAGCTCATTGGGACAGATTTGAATAATTTGAAATGTTAAATTGCTTTTTATGGGTTATGTTGCCAATGGGCTTGCCTACTATTTCTTCATTATTTAGGTTTGCTCTCCATTTCATTCTTCTCTCAGCCTCTCCCAACTCTGTCAAATCTCCAGACATTCAACCTGTGTTCTGAACTTTATTATAAGGAGATGTTTCACAGACATACAGTAGTGGCCAAAATTGTGGAAACCTTTTGGAAAAAGTGTATTTTTGAGGTTTGATGGCTAATAACACCCCTTCTTTTGGAGTAGTACCATAAAATTATATATCAATGGAAAGATAATTTAATCAAGAATGTAATGCAACAAAGTTTGTTCAATTATCTGTATTCTATGAAAAGCTATAGCTAAATAACCAGAAAAAGGAAGTACAACTTGCTTATGTTAATATCAGGTAGCTTTCCTTCATCTGATTGTAGCCAATGAGCATGAGTGTTTAGAGAGCCAAACAGGTGTCATCTTGTTTTGGCAATGAGCCAATCAGATCCCAGTAGGATTCAGTTATTGATATCATGTATTGAAGCTGAGAGGAGGACGTTTGTCAGTGTGTTATGTGATCGCTATCAAGTTGGTTAGGTTTTTTTGTATTCTTTCATTTAGTGAGCTTGTAAAATGTAATAAAATTAAAGTAATGGTGCAAAGAGTTGACTGATCACCCAGAAAGCGATGTAAAATAGTATTATTAAGTCAACAAGGCTACAGTTATAAAGAAATTAGAAGAAAAATTGGTGGAAACTTAACCAAAGGTGGCATTTCTAAGTTTTTGAAGAGGTATAATGAGACTCAGTCACTACAAAACCACACTGGTAAAGTCAGGAAAAGGTGCACAATAGCAAGTGATGATAGAAGAATTAAGAGACTGTGCCTACATGATAAAAGAAAATCATCTGGGTGTATACAAGTTGAAATGGTGCAATGCAATGTGAGGTTGAGTGCAAGGACTGTTCAGCGCAGATTGCAGGAATTTGAGCTAAAATTTAGAATTCCATGAAAAAAGCCACTTTTATCTCTCAAACAAAGGTTGAAAAGACTAAACTGGGCTAAAATCCATGTTACCTGGACTGAGGAACAATGGGACAGTGTTATTTGGAATGATGAGACCAAGATTAATAAAGTGGTGTTATTAGCCATCAAACCTCAAAAATACACTTTTCCCAAAAGGTTTCCACAATTTTGGCCACTACTGTAACATGGCTGGATAAATTTCACACATATATACACAGGAGCAGTGGTTTCTACTGGTTCACCCTGGTTTGGGTGAACCGATAGCGACGGTGGCGGGAGTCTCCGTCCACCCAGCCGGATGTCATCACAGATGCTCTGCACATGTGCAGAAGGTTCTGCGCTTGCGCAGAACTGCCACACACAAGTGAAGCAAGCACACACACACGCTCACAGTTCTGAACCGGTAGCAAGGTAAGTGAAACCCACTACTGCACAGGAGATCTGCCTACTGAAGAACATACATTAGAACAGTGGTGAAGTGCAAAAAGTTTTGCTACCGGTTCTGTGGATATGGCTTGGTGGGCTTGGCTTGGTGTGGGGGGTCATGTAACTGGGTGGGCATGGCCAACTTTTTAAAAAAACTTTTAAAGTCATTTTTTACTACCTATTCACCCAAACCAGTAGTAAAGAAATGCTTTAAAAAAATTTTTAAAAAAAGGTTCCTATGATCACACCTGTGCTGTGCGATCGTCGGAATCTTTTTTTTTTTTTTACTTTTTTAAAGCATATTTTTACTACCTATTCGCCCAAACCGATAGTAAAAAAATGCTTTAAAATTTTTTTTAAAAGGTTCCAACGATCATGCGGCACAGCTATGATCGTCGAAACCTTTTTTAAAAAAACTTTTTAAAGTGTTTTTTTACTACTGGTTCACCCGAACCGGTAGTTTTTATCACTACCGGTTTGCCCGAACCGGAGTAAACCGGTAGCATGTCAACCCTGCATTAGAAATATATGTTTTCACCAGGGGTTTAAATTTTAGTTCTTTTCTTCCCTCAATGTTGAGGCGAGAGACTTTGCCCAACCTTCAGAGTCAGAATTATAGAATCATAGAACTACAGTAGAAGATGGAGGTCTTCTAGTAGAACCCTATTCAAGGCAGGAGACCTTATAACATCCTGAACAAATACTTGTCCAATCTTTACTTGAAAACCTTGAAAACGTTTTTTTGAAAATAAAATATCTTGAAAATATCTCCTCAGGGTTTATATAATGATTCTGAATGGTCTAAGTACTGATTCTAGCTTTAGTACCTTCAGATCTTCTGTTATCTTTGTAACAGCACTTGTGAAAAAGTTCTTAGAATAGCTAATTAAAATTATATCATGATGTAGTGTCACAATAATGATAATAACAATAATGATATAAACTTTAACATTTTTCAGGTTTTTCATTTATTTTTTTTTGCATGATGTGCTACCAAACTGGGAAATGGAAAATGTACTGAACTGTCTCATGTAATTATTAAATAAATTTTTATATGAAAATAATATATACCAAAACAGAGAAATATACTAGAATTACAGCCTGAGATTTGGTTGCTAGTTTATACACAAACCTATCTTTACCTCTCCTTCTTTAATGAGGATATCCTTGTGTTTTCCATTTTCTATTATCTTCAAGCACATGTCTCCCTGCAGCTGGTAAAACAACTGTGTAGGAAGGAGGAAAAAATTAGATTAAAAACATATCAGTGTTTTTAATACATTGTAGCCTAAGTTGATGAACAGTCATTTCTGGAGTTCTTATGGCTACAGAAAATTTTATAGCTCCTGGAAATATCATTTATACTATGAACCTGGCTCACCTTGTTATTCTATATTGCATTCTGTATAATACCACGAAAAGGCCACTTTGAGCTTTTTTCAAGTTGTTTGTTATGACACAGTGACATAGGAATCGTTTTTAACAGTGGACGCATTATCAAGCTTCTTTAGCAAAATGTGCAGCCTTGCATTTTATATAGTCCAAGTGAGATTGTGCTCTTTCTGGAGACAATTGCAAGATGGGTCTTTCCTTAGAATACCCATGTAGAGTTCAATTCTATTTTTTTTTCAACATGAGGATGATCCAATGGGAAACTGGGTGCTATGGGATCAGATAAGTTAAGTAACAAATAATGTACATGTTATTCTATACATATATGGAATCAGAAAAAAAAACTTTTGTTCTTTTAGCTTTTGTCTTTGTGCAAAATGCAACATATAAGATTTGAAATATATATGTTTTTCTTCTAGCCAGGTTTTCCCTACGTAACCAAGGTTTTTGGAAGTTGCCCACGACGAAACAAAAGGAGGGCGCCTCTTGAAAGAAGCCTGGTTCTCTAACAACAACTCCCTCAATAGACATATTGACATACCACCGGCATACCAGGCTTTACGGCACCAGGAAAGACTTAAGGAGGACCGATCACTAAGACTGAATGGAGGCATGGAGAGTGGCCCAATGAAGGTGTGATAAACCCTGATAGAGGGCAAGAGAGTAGGTTAGGGAAACAGCAGAATGAGGAAGATGGTGCGGGGGGGTAAGGAAGAACAACGCAGACCCATCACAAGATCATGGGTAAAACAAATGGGTTTAGAGGAGGCAGCGTGTGTGCCTAAAAGGGAAAGGCATAACAATGAGGGAGAGAGAGCCGGGAGAAATATCTTCAAAGCAATGCCTGATAACCCTGCGTTACCCCACAGGGAGAGAAAGAGGCAACACACAATGGGGAAGGAGGCAGGGGAAAGTGCATTGTCATCAGTCAGCATGAAATTCAGGAGAATGCAAACCTTTAAATCACTGTCAATACACCCATCATTTTTCTGAATGTTTGTTCAAAACTAGAATGGGTAAAATTAATTATAGCAAAAACCTCATTTAATCAAAATGGCAAATTAGATAACAAATTTAGAGGAAAATGTAACATTAATATAGAGATAACTGGAGGAAAAATGGTCTATAAAGGAAGAATAAATTATATGGATTACAAGGAAAGAGGAACTTTTTTTTCTTATGGTGACCCAGTTGTATAACAACCTAAATATGGGTATGTCTGGTGGCAGTGTTTTAAAATTTTATTGTCTAGTATAAACCTGTTTGCATGAATATTTTAAAACGGTTCCTCTTAAATTTGTTGAGGTGTACTATTTATTATTTAGTGCTTTTTATTGCTGTAGTTAATGGTTTTCTATTGTTTTATTTTATTGTTTTAAAAGGGGACGTGGTGGCTCAGTGGCTAAGATGCTGAGCTTGTCGATCGAAAGGTCGGTAGTTCAGTGGTTCAAATCCCTAGTGCCGCATAACGGAGTGAGCTCCCATTACTTGTCCCAGCTTCTGCCAACCTAGCAGTTTGAAAGCACATAAAAAATGCAAGTAGAAAAATAGGGACCACCTTTGGTGGGAAGGTAACAGTGTTCTGTGCGCCTTTGGCGTTTAGTCATGCCAGCCACATGACCACGGAGACGTCTTTGGAGAGCGCTGGCTCTACAGCCTTGAAACGGAGATGAGCACCGCCCCCTAGAGTCAGGAACGACGAGCACATATGTGGAATCCTTTACCTTTATTGTTTTATACTTCATTGTATTATACTTTAATTTTAATGATAATTGAATTTGGCTTTTTATCATAAGATAGAGGACTTAATAAAACACTTCTTTATGAATAATATATTTATGATTTTTCTTAGGATGAATGGAAAAATGAATAGATGCAACATTAATGGATATGTGAATACAGCTATTATTGAATGCCAGCTGCTACTCATTTTTGTTCCAGGTTTCCTGCAGAAATTTGAAAAAGGTAAGTTTGGTCAAACTATAGTTGTGTCAATGTAATATTCCGGACTATCATTTAAAACCAAAATCACTGAAGAAAGCTAAAATCTGGACTATCGGTTCCTAAATCAAAATAGGAAGAACCATGTGGGGATGGTTGTCTCTTCTTGTTTAGGTTGGATGATGGCTCTTGGATGTTGAATGCATTTATGGATAAATGTATCAGGAATCCTTATGACATTAGGGGTGTATTAGTTGGCGAAATGAATACAGCTGTACTTTTGGATGCAGATGATGTGTGTTATTGACCAAAAAAACCTAAACTATATCAAATGTTACATAGATTGTATATTCTAGTTCTGCTTTAGGCATGAAAGCCAGCTGGATGTCTTTGGTGCAGTCAATCTCTCTCAGTCTATAGGGTTGTTGTGAAAAAAATAGGAGAAGGAAGGAATATTAGGTAAGTTTGCTATCTTGAGTAATTTATAAAGAATAATAAAGGTGAGATAAAAATCTAAGAAATAAAAAATAGTGAATGAATAAATAAATAAATAAATCTGTGTAAAAGATCAGGATCCTGGTCATTTTGTTATATAGAAATGCTGTAAGAGTTGGCTTCTCATATCTGCTTTAGAAAAAGTAAACATACTTTGAACTTAACCAATCTATTTTTTTCTGCTTATGAAGATTTCATGAGGATTGACCTATTTGTGATGAAATTTAATTAGCCTTGATGTTTATGTCCTTTATACTTCTTAAATCCCTGTATACCGTTCTGTCTTCGTTGTAAATGTTTAATTTAACATTCAATTTTAGTCTTAGATTTCATTATTGCACTGATTTATGTTTTTAAGAATTCAAGGGATAGAAAGAAATATACTGACATCTATGGGATACACAGAAAATTGCAGGCAAATCATGTTTTAGCAATATACTAAATGCTTGTTCCTGTTTGTTTGTTTATGGCTTAAAAAATAACTAACCATATGGCTAGTCAGGATAACATATTGAGTTACTAAATCTGATTTGGCAAGCATTTTGCTGAGCTTCAGCTATTCAAATAAGTAGCTTCAATTATTAAGAATGTGCAATAATGAATAACAAATGCTACCAGATTTTTGGCAACCCAATCACTGAAACAATCTGTCTGACACAAATAAAAATAACATTATTTTAGTTTAATCTTTAATGATGGGATAAATATGTGCTTAATGTACAGACATATGATGAATGTATCAGTCACCTGCTGGATCTGTCTACAATTGATCTTCTGTACAGGTAGTTCTTGACTGATGAGCACAACTGGGACTGAAATTTTGGTTGCTAAGACATGCAGTTGCGTAGTAAGTAATCATGTGCCAACCAACCCAACTTTAAGACCATTTTTACTATGGTGATTAAGTGAGTCCTCCTTTTCTAATTGTCGTTGCTTGATGGAAGTCAACGAGGAAAGTAGTGAATTGTGGCCTTAAGATTCTGCAACCGTAGTAAATGTAAGTTGGTTGCCAAATGCCCAAATTGCAAACATGTGACTATGGGAGTGGTACACCGGTGCAATAATCATAACTTCAAGGATGGGTTATAAGTCACTTTTCTAAGGCCATCGTAACTTTGAACCAGTATTAAATGAATAACTAAATGAATAAGTCAAGGACTATCTATATATCAGCCTTTCCCAATTTGGACTGATCTGTTGCTTTATATACAATATTTCATAATTCCCATCTCACTAATTGGTGAGATGGTATATAATGTAACTGAGTCATACCAAATTGGGGAAAGATGATCTACTCCAACTCTACTTATTCTAAAAAAGCCATTCAGATTTTCATGAAAAGCATATGAGTTTATATACAATCAATAGTTCTCATTTCTGCTTGTCTCTGAATTCTATATTCTAAAACAAGAAAATCTAAATATTACTGGTGGCCTTACCTATTATCCATTCCTTTTGTTATTTTTAAAAAAACATGAAGAAGATACTCATTGATGACAATGGGCTAAGAAACAGCAGCTAGAAAAGTCACTTTTGCCTGCAAATCAGGTGAGGCAGTTTGCAAGCGAATACTGTTATCTATTGCTGCCCAGCAACTGAACAGGGACAACAATAGTTCTGGTGGCTCAGCAGACTAAAAGCATTGTGATTAACACCAGCTGTCTGCAGTTACTGTAAGTTCGAATCTCACCAGGCTCAAGGTTGACTCAGCCTTCCATCCTTTCTAAGGTAAGTTGGGGGCAATAAGCTGACTTTGTATAAATATACAAAAGTATGAAGGCTATTGCTTAACGCATTGTAAGCCACCCTGAGACTCTGGAGAAGGGCGGCATATAAATCAAATTAAAAACAAACAAACAAAAAAAAACACAATAGTGGTGAAGGAAGGAACAAATGCAAACAGGACAGTTCTCCTGGCCAAAAGCAGCAATTTGCTTCTCCAATGGCTTGCCTGTCATGTCAATAGTCATGAATTTGCATCTATGCATTACCTCCAAGCATCTAACTTCCTGCTGTTTTATTGTTTAAATTGCTGAAGCAGTAGCAGAAAAGTAATAATTCCTAAAGCATTATTTGTTTATTTGTGAGAATAGCTCAAGTGCCCCTTTTGACTTTAATCTGAAACAAGATATTGAAGATCCTAAAGAATTCCAGCTGTGTCAACCATTTCCAGAGTCATCAAATAATGCAATCTAGATCCCCAAAGCTTCTTCCAGAAACACATTCATGTTTTAAGTTGCCATTGAAATCTATATTATTACTGGTAGAATAATTAAATTGACATTATTATTAAATAATTAATAGTTAAATAATTAAAGTCAGACAGCTGATTTTCTTTTGATAGAAATAGAATTGCTAGGGCAGATCTATAGAATATTTTGGCTAATTTTCTTTCTGTCATCTAGCTCATATATCAGCATTCTGTAAAGAAAAGGTTATTTTTAAAATGATGTTTCTTGACAAATCTTCATGTTCAATCAGAATAGCTTTTAAAAACTAGCAGGAATTGGAATCACTCATTACAGTACTACCAGTAGTATATATATAAAAAAACTTGCCCTCTACATCATCTTCATTTATAAATACGGTAGTAACTGTGGGCTTCATATTCACACTTTAAACATAATGGAGACTGTATTACAGCATACTGAATGGATGATATGACTGAACTTTATACACACACAGAATTCCAGTACAGATCTTTAGAATTAGTCATAAGAGAAAGATGATCTGATTATCTTGTTCAAATTGAGCTAGCAATTATGATGATTTGACAAGGGGGGAATAGAATTTTTTATCACAATATCAAAGAAACCTGGATGGACAAAGGATCAATCTTGGCTACCCTACACTCAAAATGGGAAAGGGGTGCAAAGCCAATCTTGGAGGCCTACATCAGTGGTGGGTTGCTCCTGGTTGTGTCCGGTTCTATAGAACCAGTAGTAAAATTGGCGGGAGGCTCCGCCCACCTGCCTGGACATCATAAATGACGATCTGCGCATGTACGCAGCCCTGTTGCAAACAGGTAGTAAAGGTAAGTAGAACCCACCCCTGGCCTACATGTACTTTTGAAGCTTTGTCTCTTTCTCTCTTTCCCTTTGTGTGTTCTGTCCCTGAAGCCAAACATGTTCTGAAGGCCTAAGCCTTTTAAGACACCTTAGCATCTGAGAGCTCCTGATGAATACAATGCAAGTTATGGCTGCCATTATAATATTTTATGTACTTAGTCATGGGATATTATGGGTATTTATATTATATACATTTTAACTAAAATTTTAACTAATTTTTAACCCTATTTTATATTTCATACACTTTCTGGACTACTACTATATGACTGATGATAAAATAAACATTTTAAGTACATATTTAGAAAGCACATGTACATGAGATGATAGGAAGTTCTTATTTAGATTTAGAGAGCGAGCATGCTGATACCATTGCATTATTTTTATTCCCCAAAATTGTTGAGCTATAAACTGCCTGACTGAGCTGCTGTAAGAGATAATAAATAATGTGAAGGTGTTGGCAGTATGTGGGATTATGGGGAAATAGGATTACAAGAGCAATGAAAAGAATAACATGCAAAAGAGTAACATGCAAAACTGGAAATGATTTTTTTTTAAAAATCTGAGTCATTTGAAGAATGGCTCTGCTGAACTGAACATTTTGAACATACTATATTTCCCAGTTGTCTACTGCTCTCATTTCCTTTTTATCTCAAATCTTTCAGACCAATCCAGATAAAATCTCCATTGTGAAGTTGAGTAAATAATTTGCTTATTGTTTCTTTAATGTGAAATATTTGGAATTATTTTAGCCAAAAATAATGGCTGTAGAGTTTGTACACAGTTTGAATACACATTCAGACTGTGTACTTCATACCATTGAACTTTTTAATTTACATTTTTCTAATGAAAAAGCTTTTTCTAATCTTAGAATATTATGCTTTAAAAAGTATGCATAACCAAGAGATAAATCCAAATGATTTCATTACCTCTTCTCCTTCTTCAATATGGTAATCTTTCCGTTGGTTTGGTCCACCAACAAACATTATATTGAGCTGTCGGTGATGCCTGCAGAACAATATTTTTTAAGCATCAACTTTTTGAAGACTTCATTCAATTTCATTGCTGTCCCTTTCTCATAGTAAAGAAAAAAGTGTCACATAACAATACAAGTATTTTGCTTTAATGTTAATAACCATAGACAGCAGCAACCACATAAAACACTGAAAAATTAAGGAATAAAAGGATTAAAGTATTTAAAAACTGTACAGAAAAGTGAAGAATGTGGGTGGGTGGGTTGTTTTACTAATGGTGCATTGCTTCATTCAAATCAGAAGTAACTTCCATCCTGAAGTGTATTTTCATGGACAACTTGAAGAAAACAATACTTGCAATATGTAATTATTTGCTTTTACGTTCCTTGGGAAGAAAGACATCTTCAGATCTACCTACCATATTTTGTTTCTTTTGTTTTAGCCTATTGAGCATTAATGGAGTATTACCCTTATTAAGAATACAGAAGCAAATAAGTAAAGATAATGAGGTAATCATATAATCTACAAGCAAAATTCAACCTAGATTGAATTCCCATTGGAGGCTCATTCAGATAGAATGCAAAATATATAGTTTTTTGCTATAACATTCCTATGCTTCTTCTAGTTTCTGCATTTTTTATGCCACTAACTTTTTGGCATAATTGTATGGACTTGGAAAACTTATGTGTCTGTTTTTGATTAACTACAGTTAACCATGTTGTCCAAACCAAACAGCAGTTACTGTCAGCTCAAGGGTAAGGACTGTAGTACACAAATGCTATTATGGCAAGTTTTATAAGTTCATTAATTCAACAAAAAATATTTTTGGTTGTTGGAACCTATACTGTATATCTTTTTAGGAAATGATACATGCTATGATCAGAATACAATATTGCAACATAAAATGTCTCTCTGTGTGTGTTTGCTTTAGTGATTCCCTTCAAAACAGATGTTTTCCATGTTCATTTGTTCTGGAAGAATCATTGATTGATTAGATCTTTAGACAATATATACTAATTTGTTCTTTTAATTTCCTACTTTTTTCTCCCATTAAATAAACTGATTTAACTGCTAACTTCATATGACAATAAATGTAACACAGGTTGATTAGTACATAAGATTATATTTTTATACAGGATGTTCTCTTTTTCTATTGTTTAAAATAAATAAAATATGTAAGCTGTGCAAGAGTAGGGAAAAAAGAAGACAACATATGAATTTTTGGCAGGAGAAGCTTGTAACTCAAGGCTTGTGACTTCAGATATTTCCTATTTGTTTTTGTATCTTTTAAATACCATCTTATTATCTTCTCCATACCCCACTCTAGTTTATAACTTTTCTAACAAATAGTTGGAAAACAGTTGCAGAAGACATAGATTTGGAGATAAAGAATTACTGCAAACATGCACGTAGGCAGACTTAGGAGTTGGCAAATGGGAAGTGATGAAGACACTAACATACTGTATATACAATACATGAAACCTAAGTATGTGCAATGTCATGATACAAGTATGTAAGGGCAGTTTTGCTCTGGAACCTCAATAATAATTTTTGCATCATCACAGTTAAATTTGTAAGTCTAGATGCATGCATACTTTACTTATAAATTAAGATAACATACAATTTACAGGCTATTTTGAGTTGAGAAATGCCAACAGCTTCTGAATTAAAACAATACTTCTAGAGAGTAACGGCTATAGATTTTTGTTTAAATTAGAATCCAGAGTTGTCATTTATTGATTGACAAGTTTCCAAATATAAAGCAACCTTTAGGCTAGCTTAGGAAAAGAGACCATAGCCAAACATCAATTGCTTTGTCAGAAACATAGCAATTGACTTGTTCAAATCTTGGAAAAATAAGTAGTAGTAGTAATAATAATAGTACCCATCACTTACATAAGCTTATTGCATACTGGAGGCAGAAAAGCACCTTTGTTTTCTTCTACCCATTCCTTTACATTCACAAGTGTGTCCTCCATGATAGCAATATGCTCCAAAGGAATTGGTACACAAACTTACTAGGTCTGGCAACTGTTTTATAGGCTATTGCAAATGAGTGTCTCTGTATAACTGGAATGATGGGTGTATGACAGGGCACTCTCCTCAGCTGATGAGTTTAAGATCCAAAAGGTTATTTAGCTGATTACTTAGCTGAAGGGCATTCTCCACAGTTTAGCCAATGATCAACTCACACACCAAAAAGTACCGTATGTCTAAGATATCTTCCTCACAGAAATTTGTTCAATTTTAATAAAGAGAATGCATTGGTAGAGTGAATTATTTTTGTGCCCTCTACTCACTGTCACATATAATTATATCATTAATATCTGACCTATGTGTAACATAACATTTCAAGATAAAATATTTTTAAAATCATTTTTATCTCTATAAAATATAGCTTTCTGGACCTTGTGTGTGTGTATAATATACATTTTCAGATAAAAAAAGCATACCAATTCAGATTTAGATTTTATGCAAGTAAAGAAAACTTGTTTTACAAAATCTTACAGCTGACTTTACAGAACATGATTATGGAAACATTTATAGCAATTGCCACCAACTTGGATAGTTAAAAGGAAATTAAATAAGTAACGGGATAAAATTATTGGGTACTAATAATGATTATCACTAATAGTTTCATTTCTCATGATGGATCCTGTCATCCTGGAATGTACCCAAAAGCTTTCATTACAACTGAGCAACATTACAATTCTTGCTTTGAGGTTTCAAGGTTACTTTGGTTGACACTGCAAACAGCCACATTTGATTGTAAATGCAGAAGAAATAACTTGTAGAGCATAGATAAGTGAATCCCCATAAGTACCACATTGCATTTACTATTCTTTTCCTCTCACTCCTGGTTACTTCCCTCCCTTATTCCTTTTCCTTACAATTAAATTAATAAATCCGAATAGCAGAAAGATCCAAATGTGAGTTCATGTTGTTATTTTTTTGACTGATGCTATTGTTAAATAGATGGGTTTGAGTTGCAGAACATGCTGCAGTTACATATTTTTGTTGTAATCTTACTCAAGTATAACAGGTAAAGCAAATTTATAGAAGAGACCAACTATTAGAAAATTATACATTGAGAAAAATTATACATTGTTCTTCTATGAAGATGTAGGCAGGGGACCAAGATGTCATTTCACTGTGAAAAGATGACAGGCACATTATGCATATGAGAGAGTTACTAATTCCTCCCATACTCTTATCTTTGGCCTATACCTCTTGGGAAAACTTGGGAGTGCTGTACAAAAGTGTTAGTGCTGTAGCAATAAATACATATACAGCAAAATAAAAAAAATATTTTCAAACCAACCTTGACTCCAAATGGCTAAATCAATTTCAATTTTTTGGGCGGTATTATAGAAGTGTATTTTCTTTCTAGGATTTTTAAAAACTTTTTAGTCAATCTGATACTCCCAAGTGGTCTCACATCCATCTAATATGATCAAAATTATTCTAAAATAGGATTTAGAACTGATTTGATTTCTTTTCTATTTCCTCACTGATTATTGACAATATCTGATTTCATTTATTAGCTCAATGGATCTTATAGCAGTAATGTCTGGTCACCTGGACTTTGTTTTTGGATCAAGCTTTAAGAATTTAGTATTTTTGTTTATACAGTAAATTTTGAGTGTAAAACTCCTATTCCGAGAGCAGTTTGCTATTTGAGTTGATAGTTTAGATTAACAGAGTTGGGAGCAGGGGTGAAATCCAGCAGGTTCTGGAGAACCGGTAGCAGAAATTTTGAGCAGTTCGGAGAACCGGCAAATACCACTTCTGGCTGGCCCCAGAGTGGGATGGGAATGGAGATTTTGCAATATCCTTCCCCCAGGAGTGGGGAGGGAATGGGGATTTTGCAGTATCCTTCCCCTGGAGTAGAGTGGGAATGGAAATTTTGCAGTATCCTTCCCCTGCCATGCCCACAGAACTGGTAATAAAAAAATTTGGATTTCACCACTGGTTGAAAGGGACCTTATAGGTCATCTAGTCCAACCCCCGCTCAAGCAGGAGACCCTACACCATTTCTGACAAATGGCAGTCCAAACTCTTCTTGAAAGTCTCAAGTGATGAAGCTCTCACAACTTCTGAGGGTAAGCTTTTCCATTGGTTGATTGTTCTCCCTGTCAGAAAGTTCCTCCTTATTTCTAGGTTGAATCTCTCCTTGGTCAGTTTCCATTCATTATTCCTTATCTGGCCTTCAGGTGCTTTGGAAAATAGCTTGACCCCCTCCTCTCTGTGGCAGCCCCTCAAATATTGGAAGACTGCTATCATGTCTCCCCTGGTCCTTCTCTTCACTAGACTAGCCATGCCCAGTTCATGTAACCGTTCTTCTTATGTTTTAGTCTCCAGTCCCCTAACCCTGTGGGGAGCAAAAGCTGAATTATGAATCTGAAAATGTACTGAGAGCACATGCACCAAAGACAAATTCCTTGTGTTGGCCAATAAAGAATTATATTCTATTCTAAAAAAAGTGAATATAACCTGTTAACAGTTTGAATTATGAATACTTTCACTTATCTGCCAAAGATGCCTATGTTTTGTATTGTTAAAAGAAATAAGGGGTGGACGGTGGATCATAGATGCATTTTTTAAATTTCTTGGGCATCTTGAGAGACAAAAGTTTTCATTGTTATTTTCCAAATGAAAGAAATTTCTAATCTGAGAGGAAAGTTCAATCTTTCCTTTGCTCCTACTTCTTTGAACGCCTGCGACAAAGTGTTCAGACCCGGGGACGATCCTAACGCACCCACCCCAAAGGCGCTGGATCGAGGGCAGTCGATGCCGGTCACGGGCAAAAGGCAGCGCCCCTCTAGGGATTTCGTGCCGACCAGTTGGGGAGAAGCCCAACTCGCCCCATTCCTCAGCGGAGTTTTCTTTCGCAGCCACGACCTCCACCCGTTTCCCCCAAAAGACGCGAGTCCCCTGGAGCCTATACTGAGGCTTTTCTTCAGCGCCAGTCCCACCGGCCGGCGCGCCTTCGCTACTTAGGGTCTATTTCGCGTCCTGCTCTTCTCCCCTGCCGGGGAGATGGTGGTCAATCACAGGCCCCATCCCGCGCTGCAATGGAGTCTCGCAGCGTCACGGCCGCGCCAGGGCCTAGTAACAGCCGTCACCGCTAAAACAACGCGACGGCTGAGGAAGGGGAGAGAGAAAGCCGATCGGCCGGCAACAAATAGAACTCGTTGCTTCTGCCTCTCTAGTGCGGGACTTCTTGTGGCCCGGAAATTCAGAAGCAAGAAAGAAACGGGGAGAAACAAAAAAAATTAGCGCGCTGAAATGGCGTCCGCTGCGGTTGAGCCCTTGATAAAGCGTTCGGGAAGAGTTGATGTCAGGGCTCCAGTGGCGCAATCGGTTAGCGCGCGGTACTTATACAGCAGTACACAGCAGAGCAATGCCGAGGTTGTGAGTTCGAGCCTCACCTGGAGCACAAGTCTTTTGGGACCGTTCGCTTTTGGGATATTTCCCCGCATTTATCTGCAGCTCGCTTGCTTCGTGCTATCACGGATTCATTCTACGCGGAGAGCTACCAGGCGAACACAAGTCATGACAATTGCAGAGGCACCAACTTCAAAACTGCTTATCAAACTGCAATTTATTGTTAGTGAATCTTTTCATTAGTATAAGTGCAGTAGTTGTATGTTTTAAGTATTTCATTATTTCATTATTCTGGAGGAGAAATATTCATGTGATTTGATTTCATAGTATAATTGTTTTTTTTTTAAAAAAGATATTACATAGGATCTCATAGCTAGATTACAATTTTACGTTGAACATGACAATGGGAAAATTAAACCCATATTGAATAATGCATTTTCCCCCAATGAAATCCTTGTGTGTTCATTTTACAATTGTTACAGGAATAGTTAAAATAATAACATAGGGTAGTAATGGTTAAGCTATGTACTTCAGTGTTTCCCAAGCAATCTATGGTCAACATTTGAGAAAGAATACTTGTTACTCCTTTGGTAGATTTGCATCCATTCAATTTCAGTTGCCAAACAAGTACTTTATCCATGAAGAAGAAATGTTCATAAATGTCTCCTTAAACATTAACAATAAGGAAAATTATTTTTTAAAAAATAATTATTAAAAAAAATTAAAAATGGTTATCCATAGAGTATCTAAGTTTTGAAGGTCTTGCCACCATTTCTTTCAGCCTATCATTATGAAAGGGTATTTTCAGCAACAAGTATTAATGTAGGTGGATTTTTTCAGAGTCAACCAATTCACTCCAAATATTGATACAAGTACAGGTAATCCTTGATTAATGACTGGTTGCTTAGTAACCATTCAAAGTTACAGTGGACTCTCCAGAGCTACTACTTATGACCTGATTTCAAAGTTCCAACCGCTACAACTTTCCCCCTGCCCACGGTCATGTAATTGCATTTTGGGCGCTTGGCAACCGGCTTGCATTTAGGGTTGTTTGCAGTGTCCCACAGTCTTGTGACTGTGATTTTTTACTGGCTTTTGACCAAAAATGCCCACTGGGGAAAATGGGTTTGCTTACCAACCACCTCATTTGCTAATAACCACTGCATTTGCATTTGCTTAATGGCCATAGCGTTCACTTAACAACTCAGAGCCTGAGTGGCGCAGCAGACTAATGCTACTGTTAAGATATGTAAAGAGCCTTGGTAGTACAGTGGTTTAATGCACCCTGTTATTAACACAGCTGCCTGCAATTTCTGCAGGTTCGAATCTTACCAGGCTCAAGGTTGACTCAGCCTTCCTTTCTAAGGTAGGTTAAATGAGGACCCAGTTTGTGGGGGCAATAAGCTGACTTTGTATAAATATACAAAAGTATGAAGGCTATTGCTTAACGCATTGTAAGCTGCCCCGAGTCTCCGGAGAAGGGCGGCATATAAATCAAATTAAAAAAAAAATGCATTATGTGTAGCAAAATAATTGTGTGGATGCAGTGAGAAATCAGGTTTGCCTAGAGCAGGCCTGAAAAACATGAACATGTGGCTACCAAGCAGCCTTGTGAAACTGTTGGCGTTTTTGGAAAATTCAATAAATCTGTTACCACCAAACAGTGCTGCTTCCTCAAAAGACAAATGACTGAGCATCTCCAACACCTTCAGGCCAGGGGTGAAATGTAAAATTTGTTACTACCGGTTTTGTGGGCGTGGCTTGGTGGGGTAATGTGACTGGGTGTGGGTGTGGCCAACTTCCCCCCCCTTTTTTTCTACTTTTCAAAGCATTTTTTCTAATGCTTTGAAAAGCCTCTGCTGATCAGGCAACTCAGCTGGGATTGTCAGAGGCTTTCTAAAAAATGCTTTGAAAAGCCTCTGACGATCCCAGCTGAGCCGTGCGATCGTCAGAGGCTTTTTTTTTAATTTTTAAAAGCGTTTTTTCGTCGGAAGAGGTTGTAGAAAAAATGCTTTTAAAAGTTTTTTAAAAAAAGCCTCTGATGATCGTGCAGCTCAGCTGGGCATGGTGGGGCGGGGGGCGCAGGGATTTTTGCTACCAGTTCTCCGAACCACCTGCCACCATCGCTACCGGATTAGGCGATCCGGTCTGAACCGGGAGCATTTCACCCCTGCTTCAGACCTCGCTAACATCACTAACTGTCATTACTGCTATAAGGGTAGTTTTCAATCCACAGCCATGATTGGGACCAGAATCTCAATTGTTTGAGCAAAGTGGTCATTAAACAAACACATGACTTCCTCAATTAACAATCGCAATCCCAATTCTCCAGGTTGTGATGTGATTAAGCAGTTGTGCTGGTCATTTAGTGGATGGAGCGAAATAGTTGCCTGCCTTAGGGGGAGACAACTTCCATCTGTGTGCAGTAGGAATTCATATGCTGGGCTGGAGAAATGGATTTCCATCTTGTTTTTTCAATCTGTCTTCTTTGTGTGCAGAAGGGAAACTCCTGCACTGAGCTGGAGAAACAAAGCAGGGATTATGAAGAACTTTGTTTTGTTTATCCAGCCCAGTGTATAGGATCCTCTCCCCTCCCTTATTTCTTCAGCCCAATAATGAATTCTGCCCCACCCCTGCCTGGTGCATGAAGAAATATTTTGGCAGGTGATAACAGTTTGATACCACCTTCCCTAATGACTTTCTCAAGAAGTTAGCAGAGACTGCAAATAGTCATCACATGATCACAGGGAACTTGCCAGTCTTGCCAGTAAATGCGAAAAAGTTGCCAAACTTCCAGATTACGATCATGGGATGCAACATTTTACAACCAGTTGTAGATGGAAGACTACCTGTACCACCTATTAGCTATTAAGTGCACTAGCTGTTCTTTTGTGGCCTGTGATTATTTTAAATTTATCAACATGGCTCTTTCCCCTTTACAAGGTGTGCAGACCTAGATGCCCTTAGCTTCTTTATAGCTCATAGGAGCCACAAAGAAACATAAGGTACACAATGCTTATTTAAAGGATCTAAAGATAGAAAAAGTCCCATCCAATAAAAACAGAAATCATCCATAGCAATGTTTTTTTTAATACAAAACTGAAGGTAATGTATTTTTTTTTTCTTTTAAGTGACTCCAGGTATTCCTCGACTTACGACCACAATTGAGCCCAAAATTTCTGCTGCTAAGTGAGACAGTTGAGTTTTGCCCCATTTTACGACCTTTGTTGCCACAGTTAAGTGAATCACTGCAGTTATTAAGTTAGTAATACAGTCGTTAAGTGAATCTGGCTTCCCCATTGACTTTGCTTGTCAGGTCGCAAAAGGGGATCGATCACATGACCCTGGGACACTATCATAAATGAGTCAATTGCCAAGGGTATGAGTTTTGATCATGTGACCATGGGTAGGCTGCAACTGTCACAACTGTGAAAAACAGTCGTAAGTCATTACTTTCAGTGCCGTTGTAACTTCAAATGGTCACTAAACTGTTTTAAGTCGAGGACTATCAGAAGTAAATGAGATACCACAGTGGACAGTGCACAGATTTAGCACATATATATTTATTTTTAAAAAGCAATTCAATTTCTATATTTTTTTCACACGAATGTGAGTCTGCATTAAGTGGCACTATTTTTAAGATAAGAGTTAAATGACCAAACTTAAGGACAAAAGTGAGCGTTTGAAAAACAAATAAATCTAAAGGGCAATTTTCTGAAATAAAGGGCTACCTATTGTAGAAAGGGCTACCTATTGTAATAAAGGACTTATGGTCACTGTAAACAATTCTGACTTTTCTCAGGCAGAAAGTTAGTGGCGAAATGAAATGCAACAATGGCAGATACTAGGGAAACAATGACATTTTCATTATCAGAATTGCTCCCCACACGGGTAGAAAAGTCACCACCTTCTTCCCCTATGCAACTCCTGTCAAAAACCCGCTGGTTTAAAATGAAGAATTGCCTTCATCCCGCCCTCGTTCTTCCTTCCAACCCCGGGAACTTTGACGTGCAGCTCATAAAAGCGCGCGATGAAATGAGTGGGAAAAACAGACAACAGGAGAAACGCCACTGTGCCTCCTCACTCTTTCGCCCTGCTTGTCTCCCAATTTCCCCCTTCTTCGTAGGCCTCCTTCCTAACGCGTTTTCTGCCACCGACCTCCCGACCCGCCCTTCCCTCTATGATCTCTCGGGCTGCGCCTCCGCCCAGCTCGCATCCTCAGGCCGGGCTCGGCTGGGTGAACGCAGCGCCTCGGCGGGAAGTGCTTCCGATTCGTCTCCGCCCAGTTTCGGAAGGCGGAGGGAGGGGAGTTTCCAGACATTTTTCTTGGACAGGCCTCTGCACATTGCAGGCTTGCAGCCTTCCCAAGGCGCGGCGAAAGAAAGGAGCCGTGAGCTAGGAACTCCTTGCCTCACTGCCCCGCGCCCACCCCACCCCCGGTTCCTTGGAGACTGGGAGCTCGGTGGTCTCGGAGGGTTTCGTGGCTTAAGGCAGTCTCTCTATCTCCCCCTCCCCGCTCACACACTTTCTGCATGCGCTCGTATTGTACAGTTTGGGAAATGAAGAACCAGTTAAATATTCTCAAACTTGACTATATTTGCGCCTACCAATATTAGGTAGGTCAGGTTGGCCTACTCTTCAGGACGGCTTAGAAATATGTATCAACATGCTTAAGACAAAACAGCGAGGCGCAGATGCTGCTGTTCTCTGCCTTCACTTGCCCATTACATTGGGGGAGGAAATGAAATAAAAATGCGCACACCATCTCCTGATTGAATCCAGATTTTCTAGCATAGGTGGTCCTCCGCCTAAAACAGCTCGTTTAGTGACTGTTCCAAGTTACAATGACACTGAAAAGTGAGGTGACAATTTTTCACACTTATGACCGTTGCAGCATTCCCATGGTCACATGATCGGGGGGGAAAAAGCAGGAGCTTGGCAACT